ATCTCCCACCATCAGCAAGGCAGACTTATTATTGGCGGAGACTTTAATGTTCTCAGTGACTCACTCCTAGATTCTTCTTCTAATTAACAACCCAGCAATCTCAACTTCAACAGCTTCCTGCACAACCATGACCTATATGACATTTGGAGATGCCAACATGGTGCGGAAAGAGATTACACTTACTTTTCACCATCACATCTCTCATATTCTAGAACTGACATGTTCGTCACGGACAAATGGACTCTACAACATGTGACATCTTCTAACATCGGTACTATAACCTGGTCTGACCATGCACCGATCACCATATCCTTAGATGACACCCAGCGGTCAGCAATTCCACCTATTTGGAGACTCAACTCCACACTTTTGAATATCCCGGAAAATCGGAAATTTATTTTAGACGCACATGATCTCTTTTTTGAAACTAACATCTCCCCAGATATCTCTATTACCACACTTTGGTTGACATATAAGGCTTATATGAGAGGTATCCTCATCCAATTAAATTCTCGTGTTAAAAAGCAACGGTCGCAGCAAATTGACCAACTTCTCGCCTTTATACGCACAAACGAAGACATTAATAAACAAAATCCAAACGCTACCACAACCGCGGCTTTAAACCGAGATAGGGACAAACTACGCACTACTCTATTACACGCCTATGATACGAACCTCCAAAAAACAAAATCCCACTTCTATGCGCTTGGTAATAAAACTAGCTCCCTTCTTGCCAAAACCATTAAACAAAAACGGCTTAAAAACAAAATAGCCACGATTCAACATCCGATTTCAGGTGTTCCCGTGACTAACCCACAAGACATAGCTAATGCGTTTGCGTGTTACTATCAATCTCTATACAATATAAAAGATGACCCTAACACAACTCAACCAACAAACCCGTCGATCGAGAATTTCCTACGTCATACCGAACTTCCCCATATTACACCTACTCAATTAGCATCCCTCTCTGTGCCAATCTCGCCTTCAGAGATCGAGAAAACCATTAACAAGCTCCCCATGAACAAATCACCGGGAAACGACGGCTTTACCAATGAATTTTATAAAATGTTTGCGCCTAATCTCAAGCCATACCCATCTGAACTCTATAACTACGTTGCTTCTAAAAGGAGAATTTCCCCCTGACATGCTACAATCTGTAATCTCTACTATCCCGAAACCGGGTAAGGACCCCCGTTTAGTCCAGAATTATAGACCAATTTCACTACTAAACACGGATCTAAAAATATATGCCAAGATAATAGCCCAACGACTCCTCCCGTACCTTCCTACGCTAATTAAATCCGATCAAGTAGGATTTGTGCCAGGTAGGCAGGCCCCTGACGCGACTCGACGACTTATATCACTATTACACCACCTTGAATCACACAAACAACCCTCACTTCTCCTATCTCTTGACGCAGAAAAAGCATTCGATCGCATTCACTGGCGTTTCATGACACTTACTCTTCAAAAACTAGGAATTACGGACTGGATACTGTCAGCAATTTTATCGCTTTACTCCCAACCTTCAGCTAGAGTGCTCACCAATGGTACGCTCTCGCAGCCATTCCACATATCTAACGGTACTAGACAAGGCTGCCCTCTTTCCCCCATAATCTTTGCACTACTCATCGAACCACTAGCATCCACCCTTAGAAATGACCCTAATTTCTCGGGGATTAAACTTCTTCAGCACGAACATAAAATCAGCCTTTTTGCAGACGATATTATTCTAATGATTTTGAACCCCTACAAATCACTTACTTCAATACGTACACACATACAAAAATATGCAGATGTATCATATTACAAGCTCAACGAAACCAAATCCTCAATTTTAAACCTTCATACCCCTGCTCCAACCCAAAACTTCCTCACAAAACAATTCCCTTTTAAATGGAAAAACATAGTATCCCATATTTGGGGATTAAACTTACTTCCAAAACCAACCTACTCTATATAGCTAACTTTAAACCGCTATTAGATACAATTCCCCAGGAGCTTAGGAGCCTGCGTACAACCACATTGTCAATGCTAGGTAGAGTAGCTACGATCAAAATGTGTATATTGCCTAAAATATTATATATCTTCCGTACATTGCCTATCCCTATACCCTCCTCCTTTTTCTCTGCGATGCAAAAAATTCTAAATAAATTCTTATGGAACTCTAAGCGGCCTAGATGTTCTACAAACCTTTTGATTCGCCCGCCATCTAGAGGGGGAGCCGGCCTCCCACATTTAAAATCCTATTATCAAGCGGCACTACTAGACCAGCTCTACTACTGGTGGCACCCTACCCAAGAAAAAACCTGGACTATTATAGAATCCTCCAAGTATCCGCCGAGTGCTTTAACAGATCTGCTTTTTATACCCCGTACAACACAGATTGGACATCCATACACGCACCCATGTATCCAGGCCTCTTTGACAGCTTGGCATGATTTCTTGACTTGCACTTATTCACAGAAGACTAATTTACAAATCCCGACTCCCATATCCTCGCTACAATTCTTATCTCCCCACTTGAACCTAATATCTTGGAATAAGTTGGGGATACATCATATCCAAGATATTTACAACAACCATGAACCCGAGTCATTCCAGACACTTCAGAAGAAATACCATCTTCCCGATACGGAACAATTCACTTTTATGCGAGTATTCCATTTGCTCCATAAAACGAATATACCATTTGAAATAGATCTCCCAGCTACTGCACACCATTTCTTTCACAAGACTATTTATCCAAAGAAAGGTATCTCTACCTTCTATACATTACTAACCGAAGCATATTTCACAACCCATACATCATCCCTCAATAACTGGGAGAAGAATCTCCTTCTCCCAACAACCCCACAATCATGGCAAATGACGTTTACCACTACATACAAAGCCTCAAAATGTAGCTCCCACTGGGAATCATATTTAAAAATTCTCCACCAATGCTACTTGACTCCTGCCAAATTATCCATCTATTATCCACAACAATCACAAACTTGCTGGAGACACTGTGGTGAAACTGGTTCGCTTTTCCATTTACTATGGTCCTGCAAATCCCTCAAGCCCTATTGGAATAAAGTGTTCCAATAAATTTCTTCAATCATAGAATCACCAACGACTCCTAATCCAGGGTTAGCCCTTCTACATCTAACAATAGAACAATTTCCTGTACGCTCACGCACCATTATCATACATATTCTAGCAGCAGCAAAGACTAACATTACAAGACTATGGCGATCTGCGTCGCCTCCCCTATTATCCCGACTACTTGCTGACCTCAATTTACAATGTGAAATGGAAAGAAGAACGGCCTTCCGAAACTCCTCCTACCATAAATTCACATTATACTGGTCTCGATGGCTAAAACACCCCAATTGCTCGATTACCTGATTACAACACTAAACCTTATAAAATGATATATCGGTAGCTCATTGGTGCCCTCCTATCCCCCTCCCTCGCCTTCCTATACCCTCTTTCATCCCCTGTTTGGTTCCCTCATGGTTTTGCTCTCATCAGTACGGTCCACAATCCACTGAGAATACCTCTCTTATAAGTATGACTATGATGAATGAATTCCCAGCCGGATGGTGGGGGGGTTTTATTATTTTATTACCTCACTTATCACTTCGTATATTGTTGCTCTGTTTATATGAACCGTTTACTTGATTGTATTCATATAATGACTTGTTTGTTTGGGAACCTTAAAATCTTTCAATAAAAACCATTTGAATATAAAATTTTCAAATTTCCTGCTGGTTCCAGCCCCCGTACGTCCCGACGCTCGCAGGGACTGGAACATGGAAGATGGATGCAGGCATCGGCCGGAGGAGATGGTCGGGGACGCTGCAGGGGACACATCGTGGGAGCGCAGGACAAGGTAAGTGAAACTGGGAATCCCTGAGCAATGCTGCAGTGTAATCCCGAGTGTAGCTCATGTTTACCGCTTTTGGCACTGATAATTAACCCCTACATTTAGGAATACCGCCAGGGAGGTTAAAGGGGACTTCCAGATTCCGAAAAGCCCTCTGCCCGCAGACCCCCACAACCACCGGCCAGAGTTGTGGGGAAGAGGCCCTTGTCCCCATCAACATATTGAGGGCATGTGGCCTGGAATGGCTCAGAAGAGGGGGGGCGGGTTGTGCTCGTCCCCCCCCCCCCTTCTTTCCTGACCTGCCGGACTGCATGCTCGGATAAGGGTCTAGTATGGATTTTGGAGGGGACCCCACCACCATTTTTTTTTTTTTTAATTTTGGCATGGGAGTTTCCTCAAAATCCATGTCAGACCCAAAGGGCTTGGTATGGATTGGAGGGGGGACCCCACGCCATTTTTTTTTTGTTTTAATTTATTATGGTGCTGTTTTTTAAATGTAGTTACCGCTTTTTTTTTTCTTCACTATAGATCAGAAATTCAGCTGTCACTTTCCCCCCAGCTAAAAGAGAGAACATTTTAGTTTATTTCCCCAAGTTTCCTTTTGGTTTCTTAAAAGAAACAAAGTTTCCCGTAACTTTAGGGAAAGTGACAGCTAATCTTGTGAGCTATAGTGAAGGAAAAAAAAAAACGGTAATTGCATTTAAAAATCAGCACTGACAGACACTTCATTTTGCAAAAAAAGAATTTGCAAAAAACTCCTAAACCGAGGCATTATTTTCATTCATAAACCAAAAATTACATTAACTGAGGCATTCCTAAACCAAGCTATTACTGTACAATGTTGTCTTATTTGCATCCATAAGTCTTAGTGTGTGGGTAAACCCTCCAATAATATAGCTGTGGTCAACAGAACTAAAACAAAAAACAAAGCACAGAGACTAAGCTACTTATTCAAGTCAAAGCTACAGCTGGAATCTGGTATATGAAGACCATCATTTAGATCAGATTTTCCCATCGGATCTTTTACTGATAAAAGCTGCTCAGAAACTCTTACATTAGTTCATGGGTGCACATACACTCCAGGTTACCTCTAAACAAAAAAAGTACAACAGATAAAAACACCCACCTGTTTGAGAGAAGCAGCAAAAGCTTCATGGGAACTTTTTAGACGCTTGCAGAACTGACTGCAAATACTCTTAGCAAGCTTGGATGCACTCAGGCTCTCAATTGCATCCTGAGCCACTTTGCGCTTCCACTCTGGTGTGATAGAAGGCGGACTGACCCATGTAATGCGCTGTATTATCTGTGAAAAAAAACATATGTTCGCATTCAAATTTTTCATACTCACAGCTTTTTACCTTAGCAATAGGGAACTTCCACAGCTTGATTTTTTTTTAAACTTATATTTTCTAACTTAAACGTTATACATTTTTTTTTTCAAATTAAAAAAAAAAAAAAAAAAAAAAAAAAAAAAAAAGGAAGAGCATTTTCAGTTTCCTTCTTGAGCACATACAGTTTTGCACTCTCAATGAACATTTCAACTCCTCTCGTCATTGTTCACTAGCCTTGCATCCTGTCTGCTGCACTGGAGGAGAGGATTGCTATGCACATTCAGCTTCAGAGCTCCATGTTTTTCAAAGGGTTTATAGCTTTTAGCTGTACAGGCACGTATATACTTGAAGGGAAATCTGCTGAGAGCGCAGTTCCAATTGACACGCGTACACCCACAGAACTACATCTCCCAAGAGCCCTTTCACACAGTGGGTGACCAGACTCTTTGAAGTCAAGCCGGCAGCATTGTAATTACGACAAATATTTAATTTATTTATTTCAGGTACTATATAGCACGGTCAATTTACGAAGCGCTTTACTATATATATATATATATATATATATATATATATATATATATATATATATATATATATATATATATATATATATATATATATATATATATATAGTACATTCACATCAATCCCTAACCCTCAAGAGGTGTACAATCTCGAATGTGATTGGAGTGTGGGAGGAAACCGGAGTATTTGTATGAATATTATGCTAAGGTTTTAAAAATCTCACCACTATATAGTTTGATTACATATTAATGTAGAGCAGCCATGTGTTGTTCAGTACATGTGTAGACTCAGCCATCTGCTATGCAGCACTACGAAATGGTTCTGTTTTACTAGTCACTTACATAATGCCAGTCAGTAAGTCAGTCACACTCATTAAAAAAACAAAACGACTCTTTGTGGAGCAGATATCGAATATGGAAAGTTGTTAAACATTTGGGCAGTTTTTCTGTAGTAGCTAATCTGCTCTGCCTATAGAGCCTTAAGGCTGGCCATACATGTAATTTCCTTTCAATCAACCATAGGTTGAAGGAGAGAGAGATCGCCCTATTCCCCACATCAACAATGTTAATGAGGGAAACCCCTGCCATTATGCTATTTTATTCCAACAATGAGATTTCTGGACCATCAGAATACAATGACCACAGCTGCTGGCTATAGCTAGCGGCAGTGATCATACAAAAAAAAGAAAGACTAGTGCATGAAACTCTTAAAAGAAACTGCAATCCTGTACGGACTGTATCTGCAGCTCTTTTAGTACCTGAATGTCTGCTAATATTTCTTTGGATTAAAATTAAGCATGTTTTCTTGAATACACAATAGCCTCAATTCACAATGCTAAAATGATGTATTTTACTACTTTATGATCATCTTTACACCAAAGTCCAAATCACAAAATACACTGCATTAGATTTAGAGTCGTTATTTTTCAGCATTAAATGAATTCGTAACTTTTAAAAAGCCTTATCTCATCAAGTGTTTTATTTTGCTCACTACAGGGCAATTTTATCACCATTTTAAAGGGCTCATCTTCTGACAAAACATTTCATTCAACATCCCTTATTTCTTTTTAACACCAAGCTTTCTTTTACCTGTACAATCTGCTCCCACACCATTCTGGTGACCGTGGATCCAGAATTAAAAGTGACCTCCACGTGGTATGCAGCATTCAATATCTAGTAAGAAGAAAGAAAAAAAAAAAAGAAAATACTACTTACATGAAACCTTAGCATGCAAACTGGTATTCATTTCTACAGGTTGTACAAATAGTACAGTGTTATAATTAAAAAGAAAAAAAAAAAAAAAAAAAAAAAAAAAAAATTTACCCTTTCTTGGGAGTACAATAAAGAATATGTAAACCCGATGTGCCTGCTGTACAATGCACTTAAGAAAAAGGTATCCTATTCTCTTTGTATTGCTTCCTTTGTGTGAAATCCCTGGTGTTCCTGCCAGTCCCTCTACTTTGCCCATTAAAAACTGACCACGTAAAACAGAACACACCGTGATGGCTGCATTAGTTTTCTTTAGGCCTTATACAGACTGGACATTTTTACTATCTCACCTAGACGCTTTTCTTCCTGGTAGCAGTGTTTGGCTTTCTTTCCTTTATTTTCATCTGGTGATCTAACCAGTAATGCGGCTTTTCAGATGTATCAGTTACAGGGAAGAGAGGAACCAATTTATACTGGCAGGGTGCTTACAATGATCTGCTTTTATTTATGCAAAACCTTTATCCCAAAAAGGAAAAAAAAAAAAAAAAGAAAGTTTGCTGTAATTTATTATAAAGCATTAGCTAGAGTATGGCTTAACTTTCTTGGTTGCTGTTCAAATGTGCCCTTGTGCTCATTCATCCAGGTTGGGGGCATTCTAACATAAAGGAGGTATGTTACTGGCCAGATCACCAGGTGAAAGAAGAATGAAAAACAAAAATAAGAGTCTTTAGATGTGTTCCATGTTGACTTGGGTAATTGAGGAAGATGAGTTTTCTCATAAAACCATGTTGCTTGAGGTGATTGTAGCCCTATTAGTAAAACTGCTTGGACCTTGAAGAAGGGGACATACCCCAAAAGCTTGTCCTCAAAATTGTATGTTCGTGCAAATAAAAAAAAAAAAAAAAAAAAAAGTATCACGGACAATACTAAATTGTTTCTCTCATAAAACTATGGAAACTTAGCTCGCCCTTCTCCCTCTAAAGCCTCGTACACACAATCAGAAAATGATATGAAAAATAAAGCTTTCGAGGCAACTGTACGATAATCTGAACATTCGTACACAGCTTTCGACAACCTATCACCCAAAATTATCCAAAGGGATAAACATGAAAATTTTTCTCATGTGATACCAGAGCGTACATTTTTCATTTACCCAGTACAGTTTTCATTTGAAAATACATCACATCACTTCCGAAATTCTATTTGGTCGTACGAGAACTTATGTACCGTATTTTCCGGCGTATAAGGCGACTGGGTGTATAAGACGACTCCCTAATTTTACAGTTAAAACATAGGTTTTGGCCTACACTCGCTGTATAAGACTACCCCCACTTCCAAGGCAACACCAGTTTTTTAAATACATTTTTATTGAATGACATTTTTCGAACATAATATACATTGATAAATAGAAAGCCAATCACAACAAGCCTGTTTAGATTGGCAAAGGTTGTAATAGACTGCCTCTCTGACTCTGGCCAATCTGAGCAGGCTTTTTACTAGAAGTGTATAAACATACCGTACATAATGTCCCCATTATTACATTTTAGCCCACTGGATATGCTTGTAGATTCGGCTACATACAGAATATAAGATCGTATTTACCTTTTGAAGCCGCTGGATGTGCACTATAATACTGTGGCTTCGGCTACAGAACATCCCTGTGCTGACACTGTATGAACTGCGCTGAGCCAATCACAGCAAACGGTGTATTTATAATTCGTATGCAAAAAAAGCCTGCTCGGATTGGCTGAGTTAGAGAGGCCGTCTATTCAACCTTTGCCAATCCGAGCAGGCTTGCCATGATTGGCTCAGTGCGGGACAGTGTCAGCACAGAGACGTTCTGAAGCCGAAGCTACATAGGGCTTCCAGCGGCACATCCAGCCGAAGATAAAGAAGCTACATCCAGCGGGGTAAATTATTTATTGATTAAATAAATTAATTATTGGCAATCTTTCACTTGGGGATGTTGAAGATGTGCCCTCCATATTACCTCAGCTCCCGGGATGGACAGTGTTCCGGCATATACCCGGTGTATAAGACGACCCCCGATTTTTGGGGGATTTTTTTTAGTGTGAAAAGTCGTCTTATACGCCGGAAAATACGGTAAGTTGAGTAACCTCTTCCATTTTTGATATGCAAAAAAAAAAAAAAAAAAAAACCCCACACACACACAACAAAAAAAAACCCCACACACAATTATTTGTCCGATATTCTCAGTGTGTATGAAGCTTTACACACAAGATGCTTTCAGGTTTCATCTTGTTTTAAACATCTCTGTATAGATCAGTTCTTACAGAAACAATGATTTTTAGTCTGCAATCTGCTGTGCATAATTTCTATAAAGGAATAACCTCATACCGGAATTGTATTTAATCATAATGATTCATTTCAACTTTCTCACCTGCTTTAAATGGTTGCTTGTGACATGCATAGATGACTCCTGCTGGGATTTTTCTAGGCTACGAAGGCACCTTTCTAATGTGCCAACAAAGCTTTCCCGTAGATAGTCCACTGAGTTAATAAGTTTGTTTACAACAGCTTGGTTAAGCCGTGAAATGATCAGGTCTTTAATCTGATAAATGCAGTTTTTGATTTCCTGTGCTCCAACAGGTTCTCCATTCTGCGGGATAGAAATATCTAAAAACAGACAGAGAAAAAGGAAAATTACTAAATAGAACTTGTTTGTTTGCACACTTCCATTAGATGAAGACTTCTAACCTAACCAGGCAGATTGAGGTGTACCTGAGATATTTGAAAAAAAAAATACATATACATCATTCATACCAAGTGCTTGTATTTTTTTGCCCCCACCTCCTCCAAAAAACTATATATTGCCGTTCATGCAGCACTGCTCTCCAGAGTTTGTTTATAGATTTCCCACAAAGCTTCTTGGCACTGGCAAACAAGCACAGTATCACCCTGATAGACTTCTATGGGGCCGTATCCTTAGACTGTAGATGCTTAGAGGCAGTCCAATTAATGGTTGTTAAATTAACCTGCCAAGCATTCAATCACACAAGTCAATGCAAAGCTATGTATTTAATCCTGGAGAGCACAAAGAGGCACATCTACAACAACTGATATGAAAGCTCTTCGCTACAGTTAAGTCCATATATATTTGGACACTGGCACAATTTTAGTTTTTTTCAGGTATTTACTAAAACGTATTCAAGCTATAGTTCTATAATGGATACGGGTTGAAAGTGCACACACTCAGGTATAATTTGAGGGTACGTACATCCAAACTGGAGGAAGGGTTTAGGAATTACAGCTCTTAAGAGTAGCCATCCTCCCTTTTTCAGGGGACCAAAAGTAATTGGACAATTGAATCAAAAGTGGTTTCATGGCCAGGTGTGGGCTACTCCATTATTTATTCATCAATTAAGCAGGTAAAAGGTCTGGAGTTGATTCTAAGTGTGGTATTTGCATTTGGAATCTATTGCTGTGAACCTAAATCATGCGTTCAAAGGAACTGTCCATGCAAGTGAAGCAGGCCATTGTAAGACTTCAAAAACTAAACAAATCCATCAGAGAGACAGCAGCAGAGAGACATTAGGAGTGGCCAATTCAACAATTTGGTACATTCTGGAGGAAAGAATGCACTGGTGAGCTCAGCAACATAAAAGGGCATGGACGTCCATGGAAGACAAAAAGTAGTGAATGATCACAGCATCCTCTCTATGGTAAATAAAAAACCATTCACAACATTTAGACAAGTGAAGGACACGCTCCAGGAAATGGGTGTGTCATAGTCAAAGTCTACAATCAAGAGATTTCAAAAAAAAAAAAAAAAAGTGTGGAGAAGGCTTGGAACAGCTCATGATCCAAAAGCACACAACGTCATCTGTAAAACATGGTGGAGGCAGTGTGATGGCAGGGGCATGCATGGCTTCCAGTGGCACTGGGTCATTGGTGTTTATTGATGATGTGACAGAAGCAGCCGGATGAATTCTGCAGTGTTTAGAGGTATACGGTCAGCCCAGATTCAGCCAAATGCAGCAAAGTTGATTGGACAGCGCTTCAAAGTACACATGGACAATGATCCAAAACACACTGCAAAAGCAACCCAGGAGCTTTTGAAGGAAAAGAAGTGGAATATTCTGCAATGGCTTAGTCAATCACCTGATCTCAACCCAACTGAGCATGCATTTCACTTGCTGAAGGCAAAACTAAAGGCAGAAAGACCCACAAACAAAAGAACAACTGAAGACCGCTACAGTTAGAGCCTGGCAAAGCATCAGAAAGGAGGAAACACAGTCTTTGGTAATGTCCATGGGTTCCAGACTTCAGGTAGTCATTGACAGTAAAGGATTCGCAACAAAATATTAAAAATGAACATTTTATTTATGATTATATTCATTTGTCCAATCACATTTGAACCCCTGAAAATGGAGGGACTGTGCATAAAAATGGTTGCAGTTCCAAAAATTTGTACTTGATAGTTAAGTTCAACCCCTTGAATTAAAGCTGAAAGTCTGCACTTCAAATTCATATGGGATTGTTTTAGCTCAGAATTCGGACATGAAAAAGGCACCATAGGAAGAAATGGTATTTTACATGTCATGCGGATTGGATGCGGTTCAAACCACATTCAATCTGCATATATGTGAACGGGAACTTAAAGTAGGTTTAATATCACTTTAAAACAGGACCTCCCACATTCACACCAGACTATAATACCATTGATTGAAATATTAATTTCTCCTTCAAATTAATTGTCTGAATCATTAGCCTCAAAACAAAACAAGTAGAATGTTTTGATTACTTTAATTGGTTAATTGACAAAAACTAAATAAAAACGACTGAACACATTTTAGGCTGTATTAATGAACATTCAAAAAAGTTCACAAAACTTTAAATAGCACCAGATCCATACTTCTCATTTGGCATTTCATAGCAGAATGTTCACCAATTGCAGCACTACACATCTGCTAAAACGGTGAGGCATTTCTAATTACTCACTCCTGAAGAATGACAAGCCTATTAAAATATTTGGTTTCATAAGAAGGCTTGTTTTCACCCTAGGTTCGCACCTAAGCATTTTTTGGAAAGGGTCAGGGACTTTTTTGAATGCAAAAAAGTTGCATTTTTGGACCTATAGACCTCAATGGAAAAGCTGCAGAAAAGCATGTATTGCATTTTTGATGCATTTTACATTTGCCTAGCAAAGAAAGAAAAATTAAAAACCCCCTGTAAAATGCATCAAATATGCAGCAAAAAATGAAATACCCAAAAATGCAGGTGCAAAATGCAAACGCAATGCAGAAACGGCTAAAACGCAACCTGCATAGGTGTGAACCTAACCTTAGTTTTGGAAAGAGTAGTAAATTGGGGGAAGTGCAGTTGTTTTTGGACAGGAGGCAGAGAAAGCAAGTATTTTAAGAATTTGTAATTCTTTTCATACTACTATAAAATGTGTTTACTGCCATTTGTAGATGCTGTATCTTTTGCGCAAACCAATCAATACACGCTTATTGGGATTTTTTTTTTACCAAAAATATGTAGCAGAATACACCTTGGCCTAAATTCATGACAAAAAGTTAATTTTTTTACTGGATAGGTTTTATAGCAGAAAGTAAAATATACAGTTGTGACCAAAATTATTCAACCCCCAATGCTGTAAAGGGGTTTAGGGACTATAGTGTACATTTGGAATTGTATTCAGAATCAAATCCTACAAGGACGTTGTAACTACCCAAATGCAACTAAAATGACATCAATTGTTTATGTAATACAGTAGTAAATGGTTCTTATGTGTGGTTTCTTCATTGCCACAATTATTCAACCCCTTAAAGACTACCACTCTGAAGAACAGAGGTTCATACAGGTGCTTTCCATCAGGTATTGAAAACACCTGTGGATGTCACCGAGCAGCAATCAAGCATAATAAGCACCAATTAGGCAGCTTTAAAATGACTGTGATACTCAGCTCCTTCTAGACATTTACTGGTGTGGTTACAAACATGGTGAAGGCAAGAGAATGGTCCAGGAAGACAAGAGAAGAGGTGATTTCTCTTCACAGGAAGGGCAATGGCTATAAGAAGATTGCAAAGATGTTAAACATACCAAGAGACACCTTAGGAAGCATCATTCGCAAATTCAAGGCAAAGGGCACTGTTGAAACGCTACCTGGTCGTGGCAGAAAGAAGATGCTGACTTCGACTGCTGTGCGCTACCTGAAGCGTAGAGTGGAGAGAAGTCCCCGTGTGACTGCTGAGGAACTGAGAAAAGATTTGTCAGATGTGGGTACAGAAGTTTCAGCCCAGACAATAAGACGCACACTGCGTAATGAAGGCCTCCGTGCCAGAACTCCCCAGGCGTACCCCCTTGCTGTCTCCAAAGAATAAGAAGAGTCGACTGCAGTATGCCAAAAGCCATGTGGACAAACCACAAAAGTTGTGGGATAGTGTTCTGTGGACTGATGAAACAAAATTAGAACTGTTTGGGCCCATGGATCAACGCTATGTTTGGAGGAGGAAGAACAAGGCCTATGATGAAAAGAACACCTTGCCTACTGTGAAGCATGGTGGAGGGTCAATCATGCTTTGGGCTGTTTTGCTTCTGCAGGTACAGGGAAGCTTCAGCGTGTGCAAGGTACCATGAATTCTCTTCAGTACCAGGAGATATTGGATGGAAACGTGATGCAGTCCGTCACACACCTGAGGCTTGGGAGACGTTGGACCTTTCAACAGGACAATGATCCCAAGCATACCTCCAAGTCCACTAGAGCATGGTTGCAGAGGAAAGGCTGGAACATTTTGGAGTGGCCATCGCAGTCACCAGACTTAAATCCGATTGAGAACCTCTGGTGGGACTTAAAGAAAGCAGTTGCAGTGCGCAAGCCTAAGAATGTGACTGAACTGGAGGCCTTTGCCCATGAAGAATGGGCGAAGATACCCGTAGATCGCTGCAAGACACTTGTGTCAAGCTATGCTTCACGTTTAAAAGCTGTTATAACTGTAAAAGGATGCTGTACTAAGTACTAAGATTGAATGTCACTTGGGGGTTGAATAAAACTGATAATGCTGTGAGCACAGAAAAGACATTTGTGGTTATTTCATTATAACTGTTATGTTATATTTGTCTGACCTACAAGTGCCTCTTTAATGTAAATGTAAGCAAGATGACTGAATGATCAAAAGCAATGTCAAACTGGCCAAAACACTCAATTTCAGTGGGGGTTGAATAATTTTGGTCACAACTGTAATTATTTTTTTTCTCTAATTTTAATAATAGTGTTTTTTTTTGTTTATAGCGCAAAAAAAAAAAAAAAAAAAAGTGATCAAATACCACCAAAAGAAAGCTCTATTTGTCGATTTGTGGGAAAAAAGACAAAAATATCATTTATCATATTATAGCTTTAAAATAAATAAATAAAAGAGGCCCTAGAGAATAACATGGTGGTGGTGCAGATTTTAATGTCGCATTTTTGCACAGTTTCTCAAACACAACTTCATTGGAAAAAATATATATTTTTTATGAATTTTAGTGTACAAAACAAACCATACCCAAGGAGGAGGTTAATGCAAGGAAAGATACCAAATATAAGTCATGCTACAAAACTGCAAACGCCAATGGAATGACAAAAAAAAAAAAACAAAAAACAGTACATCAAATTATCCAGTTCAGAGGTACACCGGACGTCTGGTGCTATTGCTCTCATTCTGACAGTTTCGGCAATACCCTCCCGTGTGGTGCAAACGATGTTTACATAAGTGCGTGGGGCCTACGTGCATGTTCGTAAATGCGCATGAACACAGGGGCACTTACAAAAAAAAAAAAAAAAAAAAAGTACTCCCCTCTGCTTCTGCACAGAGCAGGAAAGTTATCAGCTTCCAAGATTTCTGGCAGAATCAACAGATTTTGCATTTAAACTTATTGAACAGATAAAAACAAAAAATGCTTTCAAGAATATCTTTAATAGCTTAGTAGCCATAAATCACTCTATGCCTTAGTAAGCAACTGTTACAAACAATATACAGGGGGATTATAAAATCAGGCAAGAATTTGTGCCAGCGACATGGACATGTGTGGCAAATTCAGGTAGTTCTTACTACAACCACTTTATGAACCCACTGTTACTGGCAGCGATTAAGAAACTCTGAGCTGGAGAACAGAGGTACAAAAAAGTACTCAGAGTGGGACATGTCTATATTGGCAAGCCTTAGCAAATGTGACCGCTTCCCACACAGTTCTGTATCCCTAGACCCCATTTAGCGGTCAGCCAGGAGGTTCTCTGGCTAAAAACGGTCAATGTAAACAAGGAGACCAAATATGGTAATGGACATATTTGGAAAATTACTTGTCACTGGGTGGCCAGAGCATGATGGGAACCAGAAACTAATTCCATAGAAGGTCCACTTGAGTTTTGATTGACAGTGCACAGCAGTGGGCGTATTTCAAAACAGCGACTATCAATCTGCCCACTGCCATGTGTCGTCAGCGGACCTGATGGAGGGTGAGAGTTTACGGAGGAAGGGGTGTCCATTATGTAGTGCGGGCACAAACATATTCATATCCCTGGCTCTGATGCAAACACCATCACTCTCAGTGCTGGGTTCAGAAGGAATCCTAAAGGGTGTTTAAATACTGATTTCATAACTGTAAACAGGAAACTAGGATCTTAATACAGCATAACTAAGAACAACTGTTTTAAAACGTCTCATTGGCAGCTTCTTAATTCTCAGTGTCTAATCATGACACAGATTTTTACCTTTAAACTCCATGCTGGCAGCATCCTCAAGAAGTTGTTCTCTCATGCTGTTTAGGGTTTCCACTATCATTTCCTTTAGTTCTTCTTGCTTACGATCAGCAATGCGCATTAGAGACTCATACAGTTCACTCTCCTTTTGGCGTGTGTACTCCAGTCTCTTCGGTGTAATTTGAAGGTCTCTCCTCATATCAAAAGCCTTATTAATGAATATGTCCAGACATCGACTGTGCACCATGTTAAGAACCATTGATGCATCAACCAGGTGCATTTGCAGAACTTGCCGAGAGAAGCTACTTAGTTGACGAAGCTTTTCAAACTGTTCAACTAAAACACTTGGAGCTGGGGCTGCCTGACCCAGCAGCTCCACAGCTACAAATACCTTTCTTCAAATAACCAAGCTCTGTCAGCTGCTCATACAGTGCAGAATGACCACCTTCTGGACCACAGATCAGTTTATCCTTGGGGCTTGTTCGCATAAAAAAACACAGGTAGTTTATATTTTGACTTAATATCATTAAGTTCTTCTTCATCTTGAGAATTTAAAAGGTCTTCATTTATTGCATACACAATGACAGACTGAACATGGTCAACATAATCTTCCAGAGTAGTTGCTGAAGGCTGGGAGCCCCGACATGGAGAAACCACTATGTCGACATCCTGTGTGGGAGGACAGAAGAACATGTGTAAACTATTTTTACTACACACACACACACATTTTCTACTATTTTACTTTTCTTATTTGTATGTCACTATAACAGCCCTATCACAACAAATATTCGTATAATGTTCCATATAACAGTTATATGAATGCAGTTTTTCACAGTAAAAATCCATTTAGTACTATACTTAGCAATTGTTTATGCCAAATATGCAAGGATACCTTTACAAACACGAATATTGGCTGCCTGTAGGCATAATTAGTACGGGACAGATGACTCTCTAAAAACGTACAAAGATCTAAGATCAGACTTGATCGGAGATTCCAACTCTGTACCTTTCAAAAATTGAAGCAAAAAAAAGGAAGCCTCCACATATGGAGACAAAAAAGGGGTTTACCTATGACAATGGTGACTGGATGGCATAAAAAGTACAGGTGTACCACGGTTTACGAATTTAATGCGGTTTCCGGGATGTTTCGTATTGCAAAAATAAAAACAAAAAAGCCGGCAATTGAATTTAAAAATCGACACCGACATACACTTTGAATTGTGAAAAAAAAAAATTTGTAAAAAATGTATTAGTAAACCGAGGTACACCTGTATTTCATTTAAAGTAGTTCTAAAGGCTCAAGGTTTTTTACTTTCATGTATTCTATGCAGGAAGGTAAAAAACCTTCTGTGTGCAGTGGTCCCCCCAATCTGTGCCTGAGCCCCCTCCAATCCAGCAAAGTTAGATAGCCTCTGCTGTCTGGAGACTTTTCCACCTCATTGGCTGACAGCAGTAGGAACCCATTGGCTCCTGCTGCCATCAATCACAACCAGCGAGCCAATGAGGAGAGAGCGGAGGCAGGTGAGGCCAAGCCACGACTTTGTGTCTTATGGTCACACACACAGCAGTGGCTTGGGGATGAGCACAGCAAGCGGCATTCCCTAGGGGCACTGCTCAAGTGAGAGGAGCCAGGAGCGCAGGTGGGGACCCAAAAAGGAGAATTGGGGTTGCTCTTTGCAAAACCACTAACAGAGCAAGTAAGTATACACTGGTTATAAAAAATTAAAAAAAAAAAAAAAAAAGTGTCATTTTATATTCAGATCAAAAATTTCCATTATAAAATTAAAAATATACTACAAAGTGCCACTAGAATTGAGGAAAACATTTACTAGCATGAAACATGTGCCTGGAAAACATTAAAACAAATAAGACACAGAAAGGTTCTAAAAAAAAAACATCCTGAAGCCCAAATGCTTCAGTGCAGAGCGTAATACTGCAGCAAGAGGCTGCATGTTAAACAAGAAATTTGGTAACATAGTATCTCCTATGCATGAATTTGTTGGGAATTCAGTAATGACCACTACACAGAGAATAGGCTACAATAACTCTTCGTAAAGAAAAATCTCTTCTTGATTGTTGCTAGAGTCTCCCATCCCTGAGTGTGTGGATAAGGAGGAATAGGAGTATTCTATACTGATGGAACAGTCAATTCAGTCTTTAACCACTTCCCGACCGGCCGTTGTATATAAACGGCCGGACGGTGGCACTGCAGGGTCGGGTGGCCGTCTATAAACGGCCTCCCCCCGCACCCTGCTTGTGCGCGCTCCCTGGGAGTGCGCAGCACCGCGATCCGGTGCCCGCTGTGTCCTCCGGACACAGTGAAACACCGATCGTCGGACGGGACCTCTGTACGAGGTCCGATCATGTGATCACTGATTGGCCAATCAGTGATCACATGCAAAGTAGTAAGCAAGATGTCACTTCTGACATCATTGCTTACTATGTGTGAAATCTGTGAATGATCACAGAGGTCACATGGTACAAGGCTATTCACAAAAAGCCTTGTACCATGTGACAAGCTGTGACCAATCACAGCTCACTCAGTTCTTCTCAATGAGTGCAAGAATGCACACAGAGAGAAAGAGAAATGATTGCTTTTACATCCTATATGGGTGTAAAAGCAATCAGTGTAAAAAAAAAAAAAAAAAATCTTCATCACCCCTCACAAGTAGTACAGTGTCACCATGGTGACACTGTACTGCTAGGGTGACAGTATGTAAAAAAAAAAAATAAAAATAAAAAATATAAAAAAATAAAATAAAAATGTAAGAAAAAATTTTTAAAAAATTATAATTTTTGCTTATAAACTAATTTGGATTTTTTTTTTTTTTTACTAAAAAGATAACAGAATAAATTTTGGCTAAGATTTATAATGAAATATTATTTATTTGCAAAATTTTATAAAAAAAACCACTTTTTTTCAAAATTTTTGGACATTTCATTTACATAGCAAAAAAAATACAAATCCCAGTGGTGAAATAAATACCACCAAAATAAAGCTTTATCTATCTCAAAAAAATGGTAAAAAAAATTCATTTGGGTACAGTGTTGCATGACCGCGCAATTGTCATTCAAAGTGTGATAGCGCTAAAAGCTGAAAATTGTCCTGGTCAGGAAGGGGGTAAAAGTGTCCGGTCTGGAAGTGGTTAAGGATCACAAACAAAAAAATAAAAAGTTCCTCCTTATGAGAGACAGCTCATCCCCACAAAATCATGCTGCATGGCTGTTATCTAAGCACGAATGTAGAAATCTGCAAATAGCTTAGTTAGTAAATGAAAGCATAGAGTCCTTTAGCTGCTACGGCAGGCAGTAGTAAGCATAAGCAAAGCAGTGAAGGCTGTTAGAAGCAGATTAATATATGCAGTATGCAAGCATAGAAAACGCTCCTTTACGAATCCATGCTTCCTCATATGCAAGTTGCTGTTTAAAGCTAGCAGAAGGACAGACTGTCACAATATTTATTTATTTCAGGTACTTATATAGCGCTGTCAATTTACGCAGTGCTTTACAATAAAAGGTCCACCCGTTTGTGTCACTTGTAAAGCAATGCTGTATACTTTACCACCTTCTGGGGCCACTCATTGGATCGTGGTTTGTGGGTATCTATGATCTGCAGTCCATGTGGGATTAGTTTACCCCTCTTTCCATGCACAGAGCAATTCCTGCTGCTAAAGCAAGGGACACTAAACAGTATCCTTATTCTCCAAAAATAATCTATACACATCCACTACAAGTTCACCTTTTATTAAAAAAAAAAAAAAAAAAAAAAAGTGAACACCCTACACATACCTTCGTGGGCGATTAGCTTTCACTGCTTACACAGCTGGTATAGTGGCCCAAAGACCTGAAAACCCTGCTCTTCTTCCCCTCCTTTCTGTAAGGCTTCCAGGACAGATTTGAATGATTTGGAATGGTCAGCACCAGCATGTGACCTCTTTGACTATTTGGAATCGCTCTGATCCATCTCCAAAGCCCTGTGTTTTTCTGCCTCTTTGTAACAAATCTCACTTTTTCCTCCCCTCACTTCTGTTTCTTTGGAACAAACGGTGCACACCAGTTGCAGTCGTACACTGCTCTGCACACTACAAATCCCACAGTCCATCTCGGAAGTGAGCAAGAGAGTGGTTACGCTCCTACATACAGTGGGACCATATAGAGCAAAAAAGTTACCCACCTCTAACAGGAAGTCAGATGGACTTTTATTAGCTTACAATTCCTTAAGTGCAAGATTCCTGGCACTTTACCATTCCCAGGTAGCAAGCGCCATGTACAGCCACCAGTACAAGTGAATTTCTATACGCAGCTGTACTTGTGCAAAATGTCAATCACTTCTAAATGTCTGCACAGTATATTTCCCGAAATGCGCCACTTTTTCATCTGGGGGAATATGTAAAACGTGCATGTGTTGGTACGGTACAATGCAGAAAAGCTCGGCATTTAGAAGAGTATTACTGTGTGCAGCCATTTACTTGTATTGGTGGCCTGGGGGGGGGGGGGGGGGCAGATATGGCCCTTTGCTTGCCTTTATCCTGCCCTTGGGGCACTGTTCCTCTCACTGAAACCAATAAGGGGGTACTATTCCTTCCACTACCAATAATGGAGTGCTATTTCTCCTACAGACACCAATGTACGGACTGCTCAAGTCTGAGGGACAGTAAACTGACCCTTTGTTTAGGAAGTTTAGAGACCCATGGTATACAGTATTCTTTGCAACTCCTTTCAGTAAGATTTTTTTTTCTTTGTGAATCAGATGTCTTGACTGGTGATCCTGCTAGTAAATAGCACTTTGTCAGGGAATGACAAAGACAACTCACTGCATCACAATAACAGCACTGTCAGCCTGACATGTGCACTCCCATTTGGTGGTTGGGCTGTCTACAAGGCTACAAGAGGGGTTTCAAGGTCAAACCCAAACAAGTACTCAAATTGGGAGTTCCAACTTCACCTACTTGATACAGTAGGGTTTAAGGCCATAAACCATCTTAAAGTCAGCAATGGCAGTCTTTACATTTCTTTTAGTGTACCTTTAACTGAAAGTTTTACTCAATTAAAAGGGCAGTCTAAGCAGAGGCAAGCAGCTTAGAGTTTATTTTGTCATTAAACTCATGCAGAAGTAAAATGGCCAATGCCACTGAGTACTTAAAGTATAAA